TTACATGCACAAATATTTATTTATAATAATTTACAATGCATATTAAATTGTCTCTTTAAATATGTTTATAAACTATCTATAGCTATTAACAACATCAACTTATTTTACACACTCTCTTTTCAGCATAACAGTCCTGGAATTCCATAAAATGTTAACAGATTTATTATTGTTGCTGTTGCTGACAGCAATGCTATGTCTGCAACAGTGGACAGTAGCTTATCGCCACAAGGCGGCCAATTACGAACTCTTGGATAACGATTCCCGCTTCATTTCATACCAAGGTAAATAAAATGTATTGCATAAAATGTTTTTGTTAATCAAAATATTTTATAAAATTCAGTGAAGAAAGCGTAAAATTGCGGAAAAGAAAAAACTAAAACGTGAATTAAGGGTTTAATTGACTTGATTATATTTTATTTTGTATGTTTTCGTGGTATTTTACAAATTAAAAAAAAAGCTTAAAATGCATAGCAGTATTTGCCTTAAGATTTGTGCAAAGTTTGCTTAAACTCAGCTGTATTTCTTAGCTGTTGCGGCTAATTAAATATTTAAGGTTGATAAAAATACCACAAAAGTGCTGATAACTACATGCATATGAAAATATATATATCCCATACTTACATCACCAAATTACAGTCATGAAAAAAATAGAGGCAAACAATTTTGACAAGTATATTTTCCTTTTGCAAAAAAAAACCGCATATCGAGGGCTTATATTCCATACGACCTATCTGCAGGTTATACAAAAACTACTTGCTGATGTTTGAACCCATCTGAGGCTTAACTGTCATCACAATTTTGAAATTCTGCAGTTAATTCTTCTGACAGGCGATATACAAGGCCACCATTAATATCATCGATGACAATTAAGTCTTAGGTGGATTTTTGTATGAGAATCTCATATCTGTGAAAACTGTAGATAAGCCCTCGATATAGTATGAGACCATGAGGGCCAGAATAGTCTCACTGACATTTCAAAAAAAAAAACTGAAGTGCACCTTAAAATACATTACTAGAATCAAAGCGTTAATAGCCCGCGGCACGTCCTTTTAGTATTATTTTACTAAAATATGTAGCATTACGTACATAGGTGCCATAAACTTTTTAGTAAAAGACCGCATTTATTTTTTATAGATCGATCTTTCTCAAAAAAATTCAAAAACCAGCGGTATATTTTAGACACTAGAAACTTCTACATTACATTGTATTAAAATTGAATGGGCTACAAAACTGCATACCCAAAATTTTTCTAATTTCTCTGAGTACAAAAAAAAAAAATAAAAAAAATTTTACAATTTTAAAATTTTTTGTGATTCTGTACAAAGTTGCAAATGTTGTTTTTATGAATGTTAGGCTTTTATAAAAAGTTAATTAACAGTAGATAAACAAAAGAAAAATAGCCAAAACTTACGCAAGTTTTTTGTTTCTATTATTTTCCACCACTGAAGTACACAAAGTTATGAATCATCTCGAGCTTTCACAAGCAACTCGGATTTGATGTACAGTTTGCAATATTTGCATTCAGCAATGCATTTTTAGGTCCTTCTCATCTTAAAACATGGCGCTGTGAAATTTTAAGCGCCTTTAAAACATTCAAAAATGCTCAATTTATGTGAATTTATTTCCGGCAGTTTTAATGTTTCGTCTTTAACTGCAATTCACATTTCACTCACTCTTTTATGCTACTGCATACGTAATTATTCGCTAATAATCGTAGTTTATTAATGTATTTTTTTTTTATAGATTTGATGTCGACTTCGAAACGTTTCAACGATCTAA